CGCTCAGTACAAATAGCTTTCGCTATCGTTATAGCAAACGAAATTACAAAACATATTTATGGTAATTATTCACGAATTTCCTGCTTTACCCGAATTCCGAATAGTTTTTAAAATACACGGTGCAACAGAATTTTTTATACTACGTTTTGAATATTACAAACCTGGAAATAACAATTGCTAACAGAAGCTTCTGAACCCTTTAAATGCTTGTTACTTCAACAAAACTGGTATTTTGTTTTCACAGCACCGGTGATCATTACCATATAAATAAAAAGACTTATGACATTTTCTAAAACGCCGCAATTTCCATATTAAGAAATTAAATAGGTTCCTGAACTATTATTTGTAAAAGGTATTCATTCGCCTTGATTTAATTTGGTGTCACATTCCATATTGAAGCAATTTTATAAGTAACGCATTTAATAATTGTGTCGGCGATTTGCTTGAACAAAATGGCGGAATAATATTGGCAAACATTCACCATACTTTTGAGATGCGATCATTTTACAACATTGTCCTTTATGACGCATGAAATCATTTGTATCGTGATGCAGTTATTGTTATATCATACATCATACTTCAAGATGAAATGAAATTGGAAATAATAAAAAGGATTTTGGCATGTAGCCGATACAAATCCGCCTTCCCAAAATTGTATACGACTTTGGGAACTGGATATAATTTTGACGCATGTCATCTATCACATTCAGAAAACGCCGAAAATATTACTATCGTTACCATAACAAACGATGAATGTTCAAATGTATAAATTCGAATATCAATAATAAGAAGGCTGACTGAAAACACAGTCGATTGCCTGGACACTCCATGTGAACGATATATATGAAACTTTATTTTCGTAACTGTATTTGAAGTCTATTTTTATATGGACTCAGCATTGTCCGCTCTACTGTTTGTTTACTCAATCAAGCACACTTAATCTATATGACAAAATGGGGGTCCTGTTATCAAACTCGATTTGGTTTCTTGGTTTACAACTAAATATGATCAAGGTTTTTAATTCACCCATCCACTTTCCTAAGATAACAGACACGGTGTCTCATCCTACATCTGATTGTCTAGTCACAAGCTACATCATGAATCATGAAATATGCGCATGTGACCTGCATTCGTATTCATCACCTTTTTGGATATATATACAAGCATCTCATGACGTCATAAGTACTGTGATTTTTGTATTGAATTTAACCAACGCATTGATGTGCCTGTGCTTATCCTGTATAATTTTTTAACACAGCGCCGTGGGCGTTGTGCTAAGGCACATACCTTCAACTCACTATGTGTTCACTCAAGGACAATTTGTCTTGCATCTTGGATTTTTTAGAAAGTAATTACTGGAAAAATAAAGTGAATAAAATCAGCCAAAAAAGTAGGTAGATCGTGGGTTGCAAGTTCTGCTGCCACACCCTTTGGGCTCTTCCCTCTCGACAACCAAAACCTCTCCTTGGCATTTAGAAACCTATTTTCTAAGTCAATCTATTCAGTTCTATTTGCTATTGGTAGTAAATATATATTTAAATCATTATTATACATTATACATTTTTAACATTTAGATGCCATTAGTTGATTACATCTCGCCAGTAATTGAGCAACAGCACCCGTAGTATTAATATTAATTTGCATACAAAAATATCGTTTCTAAACATGATAGTTTATTTCATAAACATTTATTATAATTATAGTTTTCGTCTACGCTCGAGATGAAAGAAATGCATAAAGATCTACCTGTATCACATCTTTCATAATGACTTTCACGTAACTAAGCTAATTCGCGCAGGAAATTTAGCTATATTTATTCAATAACGACGAGCTATGCTCAATTTCGTACTTGCTTTCCTAAGTTAAACATATATATAACACTTTGATACGATACATGGGTCTGTTTTTGTAAAGCTTCATGCTGCTTGCCATTTGTGTCTTTGCGATATTTTTCCTTGCAACATATTCATCAAAAAGCTTATCCCTTATGTTTCTTCTGCAAAGCTTTGCTTTATTATTTCACAAACTTTATTGGCGTCTGCTATATCGAAACAGCGCAGTATTTTTTAACATATTCCATTTAATATAGACTGCTAAATGCCTGCTAAAGTGCCCTGTCTGTCACGCACGAAACGCATGGTTCAATCGCTGTAGCCTTTGCGTCGTGAAAGGTCAAGACTTTTTGCGTATGCTTACCATGAAAATTACGTTACTTGCGTCACGCCATGCACTCTTATCAGTACACATGCAGTCATAAACTAAATTCGATCAACACTTGATGTCACAAGAGTGTTATGCCATAGACCTGATATTCCGACTGAAGTTAGAAAACGTTTGTCAGATTGTAAGCAATTCAAAATGATCCACATTTGGAGCAAATCCGCAATTGAAGTTTTCCACTGGAACATGCAATACCATCATATCATTTCTAACAAGATTACTTCGCCCGGCTTGTTGCATAACTTCATTTGCAAAAGGGATTTTTCTCCTGATTCAGTTCGATAAAAATAGTTGGAAATGACAATGAAAATTTCACGAATGATGACGATGTTCTCAGTTGCTATTTTTGCTGAAAAACGTGTCGTACGTCAAACGATTCCAAAGCAAAAAGCCATACATATATAACATAACCTGGCCAACATCATATTGATACATATTTGTTTATTATTTGCATTTGGTAACTTCTCTTATAACTATATATACCAGTAATATATACGTATTTAATCTAAATTAAATGGTGCGATTGCTCATCGGTTACCTACCCTTCAATACAAATGGGTTTTGTTGGCACGAACTTCCCTATTTCCCTCTCGAAATAAAATTCTGCTCAATTTACTAGATTAGTGGCTAGCTCTCTCTCACCTCACTAAATTCACGTGCATAAAAATTAAGTGATAAAAAATTCGAATTTATTCTCTAAGAATACTTTTTCTCGTTTGTCCGGAATATTTAGGTAACTTATATTCATAATTAAACATTTAATACGTTGCAAGATAATGATTGTTCGTGCACAAATTTTGAGAATAAAATTATTCGCTATTATTCTATTTTCCCTTGTGTCAGACGACTACATTTCCCTATTTCTGATTGTGGCACAGCATACTAATGCATAAATATTATACATTTTTTGGTATTATACCACTCACTAGAATGGGTGTTTCCGTAAGTTTTTTAAAGTAATTTTGGCTCTTAATTCAAAAAATTCATTATACAACAATTATACATTATAACACTTGAAATAAAACAAATAAATCTCAGTACTTGTCACTATCCTGCCACAATTTTGTATCTATTTGTAGCTGTTAGTTTCTTAATTGTAAATACCCAGGAGTATAGTCAAATAGTATGTAATCGACTGTCATTTGAGTAAAACTTAAAACTTGATGTAATTTATTTTTACAGTTACGTTATATGTCTACAAAATTTCGAGGGAAAGTCTCTACGATATATTTAGTCGCGTATGTCAGTCAAGGTTATTTCAGTCCGCTATATTCTATGAATATTATTTGAACTGTAATGCTTTTGAAAATCTCCGTTACGTAACGATGAGCATTGTTGTAAATTTCATCTTCAAATATGTTTTCCATGTGCATAAATCATAATGTAAAAGCTTACAACGATGAGAATATTCTTTGGACACAAGAAAATATATAACTTCATTTTTGAATGCCATATCTTTCTGATTTTTATACTAGCTTACACACGTTTCGTGCAATTTTTTCGCTGCAAAAACATCAATCAATTTCCCCATAAAAACTCTAAATATTCAAAGATTGGGAAAGCTCTATATTCCCGAACGCCCGGCACCGAATCCCTCAACCGCCTGATATTGTCCTTATTACATGATGTACTTTTTTAGGTGAAACGATCGTAAACTAGTAATTCAATAGAAATAAAGGAATGACATAGCTCATGACATTTTATTGACTTCTTTATTTCTGAATATGTAAATTATTTATATTCACTCTTACAACAAAGCTGCAGAAAGTTTTGAAAGATTTTCACTATATTGATTGTGACGCATTAATATGTAATTTTGGTAAAATCCAGCTCGATATTGCCATCTACCGACTAATTTGAAAAACATGTGAGTTTCCTGACATATGATGTTACACTATCATGTACTGCCTTTTTTAATTTCATAATATTATTCTCTTATAGATGTCATGACCCAATATTTTATCCTGTCCAAGGCATAAATCTATATATAAATTCGAGATAAGTCTTTGGCGGGCTTCAAACTCTTCTGTATTAATTGATATTTTAAAGATCAGTTTTTTTATTTATCATAATCCTTTTTAAAATTATACTTCAAAAGTACTATCGTTTTTACGGAGACTTACCTTCGTGAAATGGGTTCCAAAATAACCTTCTTGAGCAGTGGTTTCCCATTATAGAAATGGAATCTAACAATAAATTTTGTCCTATTATAACATCTAGTAAGTTAAACATTATACGATCTTGGCAAATGCAAATGTCTTAAACCAGTGTTCTACGTGGCCCATTTAGAAACCGTTTGATTTATTTCGAACGAACGAAGTTTCTGTTTGGCGGCTTGGCGCAGCATACATTAATATTATTTTCGTCGTTGTTCAGGTGGTTGGCAATGTTTTTACTCATAGATTATTAACTCTGTGACGATTTGGCTGGGGCAACGATCTAAATAACTTTTTGTGCAGACATTTTGGAAGAAAAAAATCACACTTTTTTCTAAAAGTTATTTTAATATTATGTAACTATCAAAAATCAAAATAGGCACGAAGCCGAATTTCGTTATTTGGCCTGGTCAATTTAAGATTCCAGTTTCCGCCCTTGTCTAGAAAGTGAACTCGATTGAACTACCAATCAAGTTTTACCCTAATTCCTCTTTGGGGTGGGTAAATTTCACAACAATTGAAGAATTTGTTGTGAATGGTGAAGATTTGTTATTTATTTGCTGCCCCTTCCACTTGCTGCGGCGTGACTAACTTTTTGTGTCGAGATCGTACAAAGAGAGAACAAAATCATAAACTTTTTTATGAGTAGTGAATTCTGAATTTTTTACACAATAGTGAAAACAAAACATTTAAAAATTCCACTAAAATGCATTCAACAAATAACACTGTTATATAGATCTCATGGTGCACGTATGGAATCAGTCAGTTCATTGTGTGAGATATTGTTGATGGTGCTAAAATTTCTTTATGAATTCATGTAATAGGTAGACAATTATAAATAACGCCATGATTAGATCTTCTGTAAATATTTAAAAAAAACGAATCGAATATAATATCTGAAAGCGGGACAGTATTCAAATTATATATTTATATGACACTCAGTAATGCTGTATATGGCTGGTTTAAATGGTATCACTCAACAGGAAGTAAACAAAATACTCCTTCCAATAAACACTATCCAGTACTGCGGAAAAAACAATGTTGCTTATGGATTTCATAATATTGTAAAAAGTTTTATGTAAAAAGTCGAACACAAAGTAGGTAAAGCTGACAACCACACACAAATGCGTCAACGATACACTTAAACATCAGTAATATTACTAATATTCATAATAAAAATATTTGAAATATTAATAGAAATCGTGCCTTTGCTTTGAGTTCCACTCTCCTTTAAACCAGAGTCTGCAACTCTGCTTGTACAATACCAAAGAATATTAGAAAGATGTTATCTAAGTACCCGCCAAGAACTTATTTGCAATTTAATGTCCTATTCTAAATAGTTTGTCATCTTATGCTCGCAAGCTTTTGTGCCGATAACCAGTGCTGGGATTCAAAAATGTGAGAACAGGTTATATTTTGTATCGAACACACTAACAACAGGTTCCCTCATTTCAAAAACTATACGGACTTATAACTCTAAAAACAAGATCGGGTTCGCTGATTATAAGCCCATCTCAAGATCGGGTTCGCACAACCCGGGGAAAAACCTTGAATCCCACCACTGTTTATAGCCTCTGCAGTGTAGTCTTCTCTCCCATGAGCCCGATTTCGGGTCAAGTCCCGGTATATTCAAAATTGCTTTACAATTTTATTTAACAAAAGCTGTATGCACTTAAGTCCAACTTTAAAATCGAGTATTATCATGAATTTCTGCATACAAATGACTAAGTGAAGAATGTGAAGTATCTTCTCGAGTACTGCTATGAAGCCTACTGAATCCAACTGAATTTTCCCTGCTTACTGTGCTATCGTTTTCACGTCTGCTTTTGTGCTGTTTTCGAGCTCCATAATCTTCACTTTTACGCCGTTTCACATCCTTATCCCTTTTCTTCTTATTCTTAGTCGACCTTGTGAGAGATCTTGACTCTAAGTATAAGTGACCTGTTTCAGCGTCGCTGTCCACAGAAACAGAAGTGAAATTAGTATTTCTCCTTTCTAGTTTATTACTACTTGAGGGTGCTGATCCATCGAACGCAATGTCCACTGGAACTGGTCGTAAGGATTCATCCGTACTGAAGTTTCTTTTAGGTAAAGGCGGGGTCGATTGTCTTCGCGATTTCACTCTTTCCGGGCGTATTTTTTGGGTATAAGTTGGAACTGTCGATGTTGGTGAGCCTGCCATAATAGTATATGTTTCTAAGCCTTTGTGTTCGAATTGTGAAATATCTTGGAATGACCCTCGCAAGGGCGGTGGAATAGCAGGCAATGCTAAGGTTGGTGCGGTCAGTCCAGCAACTCTTGCCGCGAAAGAGCCATGGATAGGTTCATTGTCCAAGACTATTTCTTCGTAATTTTCTGGTGTTTTCCATTTGGGTTTGCGAGAAAATCGACCAGGTCCCAAAATACGAGAAGCAACAAAGCTATTTGACTTTTCAGTGCCGACATCAGCGGTTGGTGATATTGTAGTCGGCTTCTTGTCTTGCGTTAGTTTACGATGAGTCTGTCATGAAAAAAATCAATAACACATTAATAATCGTGGTAATTAAATCGTCTTTATCGAGCATGCTTCTTTGAATAAAATGACACTGATAACAAAATTACGCTTCAATTTTTTTGTCCGTTCGTTATTTCTATGATGTTGTGACCGCTTGCCTGATTGAAATCAGAGACAACCTTACACTTAAACTGCTTTTACAGCCGGCTGTTCTCGACCGAAATACTTGTTGTATCGTCATTGGTAGTTAATAGTTTTATAACTGATTGTGACAACACTATGATACCGAGTTCAATTTTCAAATAAGAAGTGTTCATAATCTCGAATCATAAATAAGCTACCTCGCATGATTATGCAGCAATTATATAAACATTTCAAATTTTGAGAAATGGTAATTTCATATTAACTAATACTAACCGTGGAACACAAACGCCCACAAAAGATGAATAATATAACTATCAGAATTCCAATTATGGCAACAAGAACATAAGTTGTAGTTGTGTTGTTAGGCACTCCTGTAATATAAAGTAAAAATGTTAAAAATAGTGTCCTAAGAGTGCTCAACCTGCCAAATCGAATTTTAATCAAAGCCGTAAAGTTGCTTATTTTTCACTACCACCATCTAAAACTAAAAGAGTAGGCTTATGTTTGAACTAATCAAATATGATTTCATATTTCGTAAGGCTCTTGTGAAAGTGTACCATGTCGGAATACCGGGTCGTTGTCACTTGGAAGGTCGTTGAGTATTACTGACATTATTGAAGATTAATAGGAGACATTCCATATATCGCCATACTATCATTATATAGGTTCTAGCAGCGCAAAAAACCACAGGATAAAAGTTTTTTTAAACTGTTTTTCATACTTTGTTTCGTGCTGTTATATCGTGTTGTAAAAATTCTTGGTATTTTTTCTCCGACTCATCAGTCTTGTAAACTTTATATGAACTTTCACGAAAACAAAGTGTTTCCGTTTCTATTATAGCCAAAGCATTCGATATTTGCATAAAAAGCTTCGAATTTGAATGAAATGTTGCTTTTTCGAATGATAGGTATGTGTCTAACCATTACCAAACGAATTCGTTCCACTAAATTAAAAGTAAAATAACTGCATGTAACGTTTGTTATTTTTTCCTCTATGTAAAATTTGCTATAAATTATATTCAGTAATCCTTGTATTTTCGATACAAATATTTGATCCAAGATAATAATACCTAAAAGTTGAGCGTTAGCCAATTTTTACACTTTGTTAAAATGCACGTATTGTTTAAAAATCAATATGCATGTAATATCATGTCACCTGTATTCTTTTCTGGTTCCGCTATTGATACTGGAAACGAAAGTGGAGCTTCATCACATCTCCTTAATTTTAAAATTAATTGAACTGCTGTAATACATCATTAAATATCCCGCAAATTTTTTCACCAAATATAGCATTTTATAACCACTTAATGATTTTGATTTAAAAATTAAATTAAACAAAATCAATATTTGATATTTCAGTGAAACATTTATCGTTCTTTCATTCAATGGTTCGATTCATAAGAATTTAAAAAAAAAATGGTGTTAATTAAATAAATACGTATTCTCCACAAATTTTGTGAGAATGAATCAGAAACGATTGCATGCGTAATAGGCCTCAGTTTTGATTTGAAAAAGATTGATTTATTTTGAAAAATAAAAAAATTCATTTGTTGTCGGTTTATTACCTCGTAATCCTGTTTTGTGAATTATCACCGTCGCAGCCGGTAGCAATTTTACCGTTATATAAACATGATCTAACGTAAGTTAAGCCTTGTGTTCCATCTTCTGAATTTTCATCGGTACAGTTATTTGTAAGCATTGTCCATTCTGACCAGGCAGGGCATCTACGCAAATGAACAAACAAGATTATATTTGTGTTTATTACGTATTTGTAACGAGTTTTTGGAAAGCTGAGAAATAAATAAAATTTTGCTTACTTTTGTGAGTTACATGGCTCCTTTTTAATACCATAAGGTGATCTGTTTTTTCCTGCACAAAATAACCCGATTTCATTGTTCTTTACACACGCTCGAACTTTCAGCCGTACGCCTCCTCCACACGAATGACTGCATATTCCGCCTTTTTGATGAAAATAACAAAAATATATAACTTGTGCTTTCTCCCGTTTTTATTTTTGCATTGACATTTAATTAAAGCGGTCTTTTAAAGATCAAAACTTACGTAGGCTATACCTCAAGGTTACAAAAATTTTGAAAATTGTTTTTTAAGCTTACCATCAGCAGCGTTTGTCCAAGACTGCCATTCTCCAGTACAACTTCTTTCATTGTAGCAATATTTCCATTCGCGTTGTTTGCATTGATTCCGCCTAAAAAAAAAAAAAGTTTATAAAATTCTCGATGGAGTTCGTAAAAGTGTCAAATGTTCCTTCCAATCCTAGTTACTATTCCTACTAACTAATTTAAATTCATTAATCAACTTCGTGGGCAAGGCAAGTGGACGGTGTGATATATATGGTACTTGGCTCTGCAAATAGCAGCTTCGTACGCCTTGAAGTCGTGTTTAACAAGGCCTGGCTGGAAGCCAGGTACGAAGCGCCTTGTAAAAATTTAGAACAATCATAACATCAAAGTCTCATATTTACTTCAACAGAATCTGGAAATCATTTTAAAAAACGTATCAAGTAGCGTATACGAAGGCTGGTAAGGGTGAATTTTATTGTCTGGGGAAAACACGAAACGTTGGTAAATATATATTGCAAATGGCGGGCCTAATGGGCCATCAAATCCTTAATATATTATACGCGGTTCTATCTATACATATATTGATATTTTTAAACGTGTCTAATTAAAGACTAACACATTAATCCATATTTAACAGACCCACTAATTTCTTATTAACAAATATTTATTCTCTATGCAAAAACCCATAACATTTTTACAGCCATAATAATCGTTTTCAGGAATTCTGCAATGTAATGATAATTATTACGACGGAATAATGTTTTGTTTAAAATAGTTTTGATCATGCATTGATAAATACACACGATTATTGATGTAAGGGGGAACACAAGAAAGTAAGCATTTTACAACGACTGCATTAACTATTCAAATGAAAAGCAACATTTCACCTTGCATAATGTCTACAAACTTATTTTTAACTTGACTAATCGGCAGTTTAATATCTCTCCACGCTAAAAATTGCGTAATTAAAAAACATGTATGTATAATTAAATTAGAAATGGGATTTCAGTAGCAAGTGAAGATTAAAAAACCATACTATCCGACAGAGACACAAACTTCACTTTTTGATTCAAATACCAGATCACTGTGGATTCGATTACAAACTTTATATTAGTTAGCGGTAAAATGTGTAGTGGCAAATATAGGGTTTCTACATGGTAATACCCAAACGTTACTAAGTTGGTAAAACAATGTTTACTAGTCTTTGTTGGCCTTTGTAGCGACTGATGGGTCAGATGTTCAGCTAGGTGCTAAACAATAATGGATCAATTTGGATATGCTGAACACAAATGAAAAATAGCTGTCTTTGTTTGCAATAATATGCACTCTGTCATTATATTAACCATGTATTGATTGAAAGATAAATTTACGTATTGGTCTAATTTAGTCATATAAAATTCCAATGTGCGTTTACTGGAATTATGTTATTTTGAGAACCATTGAAATTGAATCACGACACAAACAAATAAACTACGAAACCAACCTACAGACATCGATACAATTCACAATCATAAAAGAGCAGACACGATTGTCATTGTTTCTATCACGAAACCTATTTGATCACATTATTCTATAACGTGTAATCGGTGATATTTATTTGCAGACTTACATCTAAACAATTGCAATCGGTGTGTATATGTTTTGCATATGTATGTTTATGAATATAAATTCATTTCATCAATGTTTTGTTTACGTTTTGTTCAATAAATTTTTTTTTTTCAAATTGTCCTTGATGACAATATAAATTTGCACTAATCTGCTTACTATTTTTGGAATTCCGGTGTATAATATCCTTGTCGAACGTCGTGCTGCTGTGGCAGAGTATTGTTTCGGGGCTGGGCATGTTATGGCTTCGTTTTACGAGAATCAAACATATATAGGAATTAAAAACAAATTTTTGTTCACAAATAGGCCCACAATTTCTTTGAAACTGAATCTTATTAAAGCTTAGAACTAGGTAAACATGGAGTAGCGCTATTCGAGTGATTGGACTAATCAAACTCTTGGGCCATATCGAGCCTCGATTTTTTTTTCAGGTTTCTGATTTTAAGCAATATGCCCGCATGTCCTTACGCATTCAATAGAACCTTTGCCTTTTTTAAATATTAAATATTCAATCCAGACATTGTATTATCCAAATACTCAGCCGACCCTCATTTTATTAAGATAATGATAATGGTACAATTTGTCATTTGTAGTGAAGTACCAATTTATCATGCTAACATATGTAAGGCACATTGATCCTTTGCTGAAATGGCCAGCAAAATAACGCTTACTAATGTACTTATTAATATAAATGATTGATTCGCATGTGACTGTAACATACTTTGCAGCCGCGGCATAACATATTATATAAAAGAGTCGTTGTAAATGCAAGAACAAATATTTCAGATTCCTCACTCGCTTGTGCTTGAACACGGTCTCCATCTGTATTGAATACCTCTATGACATTGAAAAGACTTCTGATGACCTTGGCATCTTGACCATTCATTCCACTCGTGCCCTGACACTGTTATGAAACAAATATATTCATTAAGATAAACTCGGGTGATCACAATTAATACACAAGTTTTCATCGGTATACGTATAATAAGCATTTAGACCTCAAAGTAGTAGATATAGCTTATTCCGATGCGATATTTGAATGTAAGTGCCACACATTAGTATATTGACCATCGTCGGGGGAAGCTGCCTTAGCCCAACTTAAATCAATAGTTTGATTAACTATTGATCCATTTTAACAATAATTGTAAAAACACTGCTACTGGCTTTCATTTTACACCAAAATGCAGAATCACTTTCTTAGAAAAAACAGTTACGTAATATCGATCTTATGCTTAATCGACTCCATATTACGTTAAAAATATCCAGTTATTCACATAACCAATTTCCTACAGAACAATAAGAACATCGACTATTGGTTATGGGCACACGATAACTTTTGCGCAGAATTTATACCGTGTTTTTATAAAATAATTAAACAAGTATCATAGCCAGTGCTACCAGAAAGAGTTTTTAAAATAGCAATCATCCCTGATCCTTTTAAAATCTCATTATTAGATAAAATATTCATTGTTTCTCCACTACATGCACAAGCTACAAACAATATAGTCAGTGAAATCTTGTGATATTATATTAATGCATGCATGAATATATGATCCTTTCATATCAATTCATATCTACCTGATGCATCCACTGTGCAATCACAAGCCGTATTATCTCCAGCGTATGTACTTTCTACTTTAAAAATTTCATATGTTTGAAAGTTGTATCCGGTAGAATTATCCACATTCTCCTGCGTTGAAAAAAAAAGTTGAGTTGAAAAATAGTTAGACGTCTAATATCTATTCATATTTCTCTCTTTACTGGGTCGTATCAACTGAACTTTAAATGTCCCCGAGAAACCAAATTTGGATTTTCACCCATACTTCGTTGCATATAAGATCTGTTCGAAAAATATGTGATACCCAGCTGGGGATTTTCTGTTATAAGTGTTATCACAATAAAAATTATTTTTCTTACCTGACATCCTCCATCCAATACGAGGTGCAGGAACAGAATCAAAAATAAAATATATATTTGTGCCATATTATCTACAATTTTATTTATATATATTCAAAATCTGTTTCAAAAAGGTTGATTACATTAACGATAATTTGTAAATATAAACTTGAGTATGATGATCTATCTATACTTTGAGATGATCGTTGACCGTATGAACATATTTTCTTTTTAACTTTGTCTTGCATTTCCCTGGTACAATTGTTGACTAACCGCAAACAAATGTTCTGTTAACAAATGTTAATCGGTTTGTTAAAATTTCGTTTTGACGGCCTCAGAGATGGACTAAAGTCCACGGTACGACATATTCTTGATAAATATTCATTGAATCGCCCAACTTGACGTTTATCATAGGTGAACTACATTTTAATTCTAGCCAGTCCATTTATCTCAAATATACATCATAATTCAAAATCTTTCATTGTTACAAACAGACTGATTGATTACATTCCGATATTGGCAAGTTGATAAATTAATTACCTTTTTGGGCATATGGAATTGATTGAATGTCATGCCATAATATGTTGTTTTAATATATGACTTTTTAATAGACCTTTTCTTTTCTGTCCTTTATAGCAGATAACAACATATTTTAGTGCTGCAACTATCTAAGAATGAACAATTTAGAATGAACAAATTTGTGATAATGGAGTCTTTTTTAAAAAATTGATTGCAAATTTGATTTGTGATATTTAATTTTATTATGGTTTGCAGGGATCTTTCGAATGCTTCGTGGTCTTCATTAAAGTTAGCAAATATTCAATCGAAATTTTGGCATTTTTGACAAGACAGTGTTTTGACAACAAATATTTTTTTAATTTATAGAAGTCACTTGGTAAACTTCATAATTTAATATAATATCTGTCATTTACTGTCACTAATGTATTCATCCGCATTGTCGTATTCCTCATCCATTTAAATTCGGTATTCTTTGTTTACAATCTTTTGCTTATTTTCATTCTCACTCTGACTTCTACACTACACCTTGATTACACTGCATGTTGATCAAAAGCTCTGTCGAAATAGATAGTATGTCTAAAACTGATCACTGGACATTCCCAATGATCCTAAACAATTTTCTGTAATGACGTTTGGGATATTTTAGTTTTATCGTGCCCTGGCAACTTGCCAAGACGCACGTTTCGCTAGCGCGTTCATTTAAATAAATGCCACTTTATTGAAAGATCTGGGGGACGATTTTATAGATTTCGTTTTTTTTGTTTTGTTTTTATTCATTTTTCAGTATTCGTTTTTGAATATTTCTATTTTTCAAAATATCACCATGTGCTCAAAATATCACCAAGTGTTAAAATAGCAATATTTTTTCAAAAGAATTTATGGCAAATCGATATACAAACACTTTGTGGAAATATACTTTAAAAGTGTATTATATTCAATGTAATGCATATTCCCTTAAGCTGTTTTTTCTTTAAATCAGTACTGTTTATTTCAAAATAGGAATTGATTTGATATGGTCTATAAACTTTCTGCTCTTGATATTCAGTCAGATTCATCTTCCGATTCTCAGTTTTCCTTTTGATCAGTACCATTTTTTTCGATTTAGGATTTGATCTGGTATGGTCTATACCAGTGGTGTTCAACCTTTTTTCTTTCGATGCCCACTTTCGATGCACAAAAAATTTTGTGGCCCATTAACTCTCTAATGCGAGGGTAAAACTACAAAAAAAACAAAAAAAATTTCTTTTTGCAAAACAGTCACTTCCACTTTGATAATTTACAATGAAAATGACCAATTTAATAGCAAACAGCATTATCATTCTTTTCTTATACAATCAAATTGAACTAATCATCAACAAGTCTAGCAATTTTTAATAAATTTGTGGACCACCTGAAAATATTTCTGTGGCCCAGCAGTGGGCCATGGCCCACTTGTTGAAAACCGGTGGTCTAGACATTTTGCCCTTTGCAGTGCAATAATGCTAATTTAAGTTTCGCTATTTCATTAAAACATTATTGGCGAGGCAGACAAAAAATATAAACACAATTCAATCAAGGTAGATCATTAATTTAAATGATTTATCAACTTATTGCCAACGTTACATTTTCATTAACCAAGTACCATTCTGTTACGCCTGAAATTGAACTCGTACCCTTTGACCTCCGGCGAAGGTAATAAAGACCTCTGATGAAACATTTGGTTGGATTCGAATTCAACAGCCCCTTTACCATATTCGTTTGATGAATTCGATTTTTGTACAAGATATTGGAGTTTAAGCGCTAGTTTTAATAGTTATCATTCTATGCATACCGTATCTTAACGAGGACGTAACAAGTTGAGTTCATATGGGGCATACTGAACTTTCAGCAGACCCGTGAGGCAAAAATATCTCACCAAAACAAACTAAAGAGCATAACACCTAATGAATAACCTTTTTACTAGTATCTTCTAAGATACATCTTGTTCGATGTCTATCACCTACTGTGAGCTTTCTGTCATTTTCTCCATTTTAAAACGATTATCAAGGATCCTTGTTATGGAGGAACCTTTCGACAATATACACATTCCTTTTTGTAACTTTACTCATGCTAAGAAAACATAGCTTTATCAAACTTGCAAATCTAAAATAAATAAATTTGCGTGATGTCGCAAACTGAATGAAGCCACGAAAAATCTATAGCGAATTTTCCGAGAAGCTCAAACCGACGCAGTCACGACTTTCTCATCTCTTTATATTTCTGTATTGGTCACACGTCAGCCACGCGCAGTCGTGATAGATTGTCATTTATGCAAAATTAATTCGATCTTTAGTCTGTTAGGTCATAAACATCATCATATTTTCTTGGTATAAATTTAAGATTGACATTGATGTTAACGAACTGGAGAACTGCTGTAAATAACATTTGTATATATTAACATGCCCTTGACTGAGTGCATTGGATTGCATTTGTCCGAAAATAAGAAACCTAGGGAAACAATGCAAAGTTACAACAACGAACCACACAAGACTATCCCTGGTCTTGTTTTAGATTAGATAAAAATGTTCAATACTGTTGTAGCCATACTTAATTTAATTATTACGAATTCCATCAACAAATTGTAGAAATTTGACAATATAAATTTGTATAATAATTTTAAACGAAAATCTAAACTTCGCTATTTCCCTTTCCAATGGAGGGGAATTCATCGTTTCCCCTTTATTGTGTCGTCACTGTGGCCTATATAGTGTAATCTGTGCCAAATTCGCCTGTTGTATTCGATTTTTCAGAAAGTGAACCTAATGTATTTCGTATTTAAAATATCAAAGTTTCAAGTTTTCTCATATTGTGTTTTATCGGATGGTATTATGATGGGTTGAGGATTTCAAATCGGCTTGTGGGCCATTCAATGCACCTAGTAATCGCATGTCAGGCCAATGCCTTTAACATCCTGTTACTTGTAGCTTTATTTAAATACAATATCATCTTTTAATATCATGTTGTTAGAATAGAAAAATATTTCAGTGACTGAAATAGTCATTGAGTGAGTGAACCCTCGTAAATATGTTAAAAACTCTTTTCTCTCATATTTTTGAGCAAGAATACCTGGCACACACAAACTGCTAACAATGTTCAAATTAATTTTGTAACATTTCTTTTATAGTCACAAACATACTGCATTGTGATTTAGTTTCATTCCAGGAAAATCTTTATGATTTATCAATTTATGAACAAAATATGTGCGCCACTATATATATCTGTATAAAAGTTCTTTTACTTTGCTTATATATAATATTCATTTTTTTCATCTTATTCGAATAAACCAGCTTTCCATGAAAAACTTTGACGTAAGGAATATATCTACTAACCGGATGTATTTGGAAACACTAGTTGAATGAATATAAGTATGTGATATGCCAGCGTATTTTTAAGTCTGACTTAGCAGGTGCGTGCGCCACGTATCTCCGATGTTAATTAATCACTGTAAAGCATCATTTATGCTTTGTTTCCTATTTATTGTATAACCATTCCGACATTGTATCAATTTATCAAGTATGACCCAGTATTGTCAGGTTATAGTTTTTGGTCAGAGGACCGCTCAGAGTCGATTGGTACGTAAATGGCAACACATAATAAATTTTCCCCAAAGGTCAAAGGTCGGTCTAAATTGGAGTTTTTGTTTGTTCAAAAACGAGTTGACAAACACAGCTGACATTACATTTTACAAAACTTTAATAGTTTAATTAAAATTGATGCTATTGATCAAGTTACATATAAACACAAAGGGTATGAAAAATGCGATCATTACGCGGACAGATATCTTTAAGACAGCTCTGATTTGAAGTCTTTTTAAATTATGAAAGGTTGCAGTGCAAGATAACATTTATCTAAATTATTGACACAATCATAACCTTTTTCGACCCATTTTAAATCTTAAGGCACAAGAGGTTGATAATATTTATAAAATTTTGTCAGGACCTGCCGTTATATCCTTGATTTAACATGGAACATCATGCCATACTGAGACGCATGGAATCAATAATGATAAATCTTTAATTATTAGTAATTAATAGAACGTAACGTCATCATTTACGACAGTATCATGCGACAGTGCAAAATGCCTCTGCACGTATATGAAATCATTCTGAGTCTTTTCTAAACTGCATTAATATAATATCTTTAAACTATTTACTAGAATTTTATTGAGAATATAAAACCTCCCAGTATTTCCTCAGATCTAGACTATAAAGTCCATCTAACCGTTGATTTCTTTCTGGGAACCAGTGGAGAATCCAATTTCGCGAGAAACCCCATTCGAGCCCCCAAAAATTTTGTTTGGTCATCCTCATCATCTTGAAAGATGAGTGAAAATATAAAATCTTGTGTAAAAGTCGAGCATCAGTATGTTTCTCAGAGGTAATCTTTGTATGATAGGCACCTGCAAGTTTCTCCCGTACCAGCGATTCCCTTACATTTCTTGAGCTGCTTCAATCAAACAAAATTATAGAATTAGATTATTTAGAAATCATGATTGAAGTCGCCACACTGGACGATTCGCTACTTCTATCACGCTGGTCGACGAAACAAATGTCTATCTATGCGCTAAAAGCGCATCCCTCAGGATTGGCGCTTTGTGGAATTTCCTTACTCGTAGCTGTCGTTGTCCATCTTGTTGTTGTCGTTCATGTAAATATTGTTGCTGTCAAAAATGAAGAAGGTCGCATTTACGGCTTGGTTTTATTTATAAGTCTGAAATAGAACCGGGCGCCCATTTCTGCTTAAATATAATTATAGAAAATCAGTTTAAGTTTCGCCATAAGTGAAATAAGTCTCAAGAAATGTATGGCTAAAAATAACGCCTGATATTAGTTAACAGTAGTTTTGAGTTTTTCAAATTTACTTTCACGAGTTTGGGTTAGGATTTCTCACTTTAACGTCAAGTAGAATGGAACGATTTCGAATCAGAGAAACACACGCTACAATTATTAGATCAAGTCATTTTTAGTTTACAAATACCTTGGCGCGTTAAAATTTGCCTGAATACAATTTCTCCAATAGTGAATGCTGGTTATGCGAATTTGGCACTTATAATTTTTGAACGCTGAGTTTTTATATTTTAAATAGATCTATATATATATTTACAAATCTCGCGAAAGCAAACAAAACATATTTTCAAACATGTCAATTGGTCAAATTATCTGTATTGTTTAGAATACAGATGAACTGGAGAGTTAAATATGAATTTTATTTCTGAAAGACTTCAACATTCTGTAAATCATCTTTCTAACGCCCAAATAGTAGGGCATTTCTAATCAATATTTTCAGCAAATAGTAACATTAGGTATCGTCTAAAAAGATAGTAGGTTTGCGACGTTTTCTTGTTTTGTTTGAAGCCCCGATCAAAAGCTCTCTATGAACATCTTTTAAGTGAGGGTGAGCGATCGAGCCAGCTTGTTACTCTTTATTGTTTTTCCATCTTATGTTAATACGTTGAAACTTGATTTAGACACACAAGAACATTACAAATGAAAATGAGTTTATTTTTTTCAACTTTCTAAATTCTGGGGAAGCAAACCATAGATTTGTTCTCAGATAAAATCAAGCCAAATTTTCACTTACGGTATAGAATTATTTTATACATGATAGTATTGAAATGCTGATATTCAACTTTTCATGGCAAATTGATAACATCAGTCCGTGTGCATGGTAGTTGGTCTGACTTTCAGCCAGGTGACGCTGGTAGTTAAATAAATTTTTGGTTATTCTGAACTAGAACTGTTAACGTATTTTTTTCTAAAATTGTATTCTATAATAATTGAACGAAAAGAAGTTATACTTTTTTAACGGTGCCCAATATATATTATATTTCGTAGGTAACATTGAGTGATAATATAAAATTTAGTGGTTTTTGAACAAATCTAAAATTCTAATTATCATCCATTTTCGATTGAATTAAAAGTATGTTCAGTAGTAATCGAATATATGACTAAAGTACAAAAGTACAAGTTTACTGTGACTCAAAATAGATATGAATATTTAAAAAGTTTCGTTGATAAAGTTACGAGCCGTATGTATTTAAAAATTGCAAGAAGCTTCCGTGGAAGTAAATTTATTGGCATACTACATAAGTGCTTTGCCGCTATATGGCAGTAGAGAATCTTCAAGCATCTTGTTTGAGCGCGTGTTCGAGACAATTAGTGAACTAATATGAAATTTTAGCAAAATTTACAAACGCCTGGCATAAAAGTTTCAAAAAAAAAATGGCAGTTTATGTGTACGCGTTCGTCTTGTGAAAAATCTGTAGAAAGAAAGCACAATATGTTATAATAATAGGTTATAGCCTTCAATGCAAAAGGAACTACGATAGAGCACTAATAGAGCTTTTGCATTTGCATTGCATTTGCTTCCACATTGGGGCTATAACTGACATAACAATTAAAACTAATTTATGGTTGACTAAAAGCCAAAGTAACACTTTTATGGAATCCAATACAAGATGTAGGAATTTATTCGAACTTTATTGAAATTCATAATACTTTAGATATCAGAATCAACTATATGGTTGATTCGAGTTTAAAAGTTACTTATTTCGAAGCAGAACGATTTGCCTTCAATAATAATGACATAAAAAACGATATCGCAAATACTCTTTGCAAATGGTTGAGATTTCTAAATTTAAAGTGTCAATATAAACAGTAATATTCAAATTCCATCCAGTTATATTTTCGTATCGAAAGCTTGATTCTGCAATAAATTTAGCATAACATACTTCCTTTTATCTCACTGTTTTGACTCCTGTCGTTTTGCTGCTAATTTTATCTTTAATACTGTACCGGTAAGGTGTAAACTGTATTATAAAGATCACGAATTCTTTACATGCCAAACCCGCTAATTTCGGATTATTATGTAATGTATATAAGTACATTCGCTCTTCGCCATCTGACGGACACATGTCAATATATCAATTTAAAATACAAAAGGTCCAGTGTTGTGTCAAGAACATTCCGAAGCTTTATAGTTGGTATTTTCCACCAAAATTGGCATTGTAGGCCATGTGCATGTTAGTTCTATATTGCGTTCAAGTGGTGCGAATGGTACACGACATTTTCAGGCGACATTTTGATTTCTAGAGCGGCGGAGACATGCAGAGACAAATGGTAAATAATACAATCTTGAATGACGTCCTCCTAGAATTCTGATATGATTGTTGTATTATCAACCTGTGATTTCAGTCAATATTGCGATGTCCTTTTAAGTCATGAGATCCGAATTCGTAATTCCAATGTTGACACGAAACAATTTTAATTCATTCTTGTGTTGCGTACATCACTCACGGACACCGGAAGCTTATGACTGTCTTTACTGCCAAACAGTTTACAAGATTATTAAATTTATTATTTATTCAAATTTATGTATTGCAACATTTTGATGGTGGCATGCGTCACAATCATTTTATTTACTATATGTCTTCATCAGCTGCATTTGAAGCGATTTTATTGATAACAGATATAGTCACAAACTAAAGTTTTGTTTTATTCATGGCTAAGAATGCGGCAAAGTACTGCAAGTAGATCGTCTTTGATTAAATTTCTAAGTCAACATCCTTCATTTCGAACAATGTTTGTTCAAATCGAAGCCTTTATTCAATCCAATGTCTATCGTACTCTACTACATTCCTGCCGTAGCTATGGTGATCTTGTCACCCTCATCTGACATATTTATTGACACGTGTGAACTTGCTTGGTGATTAGTTACAATTCGTTTTATTCGATGGATTCGAATCACAATTACGCAATTTCGTTAGTCTCATTCCCATTTGCATTAAGGACTCCTAGACGTAATCAAACATATTGATCTTGTTTGTCATTGATGTAATGTTGTATTTCACATGGTCGTCTCACGTTGCTCGTGCGTCATATCCGATAAGATTTCACGCAAGTTTTTGATCAATCATAATATATTTTTAAAATGTATTTAGAAAATTATTGCACCATATTGGCAATGTTTTCTTACAGATTGTTTATCTGTACATCAAGTCACATTCTTTATTTAAATTTGCCCGGCCAAACATATCTTCAATATGTATGAATGAATAAATATGTAATATATGATGCCCTTCATAAAAATAGCAACGACAAATCAAAGTTATTTTTTTTTGTTTTTGTCGTTTGTCGGGTTATTTTAACCATCTTCTCCAAGATTTTAATATGTTTTTGGTAGAACTTGCCAAGTTAAAGAAGCTTTGGTCGTTTATTGAACAAATCTTCAATGAAAGAACAAAATACGGCTTGGTTTATCCACACTGAATTCCACTTTTACTGGTTCAGAATTGTACGAATACATGTACAAAATTGACGAACAACTGATATGTTTAAGATGAAAATTTAACTCTTTTTACAAATTAAATCTTGAACTAAAACAGGTCAGTTGTAAAAGCTCTTTCTTACTAGCTACGTTCTAGTATTATTCTGTAAAAGCTAAGATCACCAAGACCACTATATTACTTTCTTTTATTTTCAATTCCAAGAAAAAAATAGTATAGAAAAACACAATGTTGTTCAAATAAAAATACAAACATAATAAAATAATAGAAATTGAACACAATGGCAGATTCTTTGAAGAAATACAGTACAAAATCCGGCCATAAAACAGCCCTCGTGTAGTTTGAACGGTCACCACCAAATGCGTGCGTTAAAGCGGCACTTTGTTGACTATTGATATTTGGTTGAATTAGGACAGGAAGGTTTACAGTTTCCTGCAGAGTTAGTTTTGTTACATATTTTTTTAAATATAATAAAATTTCATGTACGAAAAATGTGTATCAATTTCCAACCTGTCATAATTAGAGACAATTTTTGAAGATAATTTTGAACGCTGTTTCATCAACATAACAATTTTCATGGCCTAAGTATTGAAGTCACAGTATATATATATCATGTTCTTGCTACTGTTCATTCATTTATAATTGTAGCTATGTTGGCATGTATACTGTAAAATGTACTAAATTTGAATTGCAATACATTTTATGTTTAGCATAATATTCAATCATAGGACTGTTTACGATATTTCAACTGATAGATAGAGGTGCCATTCAAAAAAATCAACGTCAGTTGAAAACCAGTTAGCCTTTTGGTGGAGTCATAGATATCATAGTTGCAATGAATTATTATATGGCACAATAAATAGGCTCACTTGGATTGTCTAAATCTGCTAATGCAGAATAAGAATGGCTTACATGAAATTTATTATGCGATCTTCCAAACTTATCTTGTGGTGCTGAACCGTCCGATCCTGTGGATGATTCACGAGAAAGAAGTCGTCCTGGTCGATGAATTGGAAGAGGTGGACGTACAGGCGACGACCCACACGACATTGAGCCTTTCTCCGCCCCGTTTACTCTTGTCTCTTCCTTCGGTGGGCTGTATGTTTTGGTTCTTAATCTTTGTCCAGTAGGCCATAATTTAGGCCCGGATTCTTCATTTTTGGAAACTGTGGTTGCTAGTTTTGATGCTGCATTCTTTGAAGGTTTAGATCGGCTTTTAACTGCGAATCGTCGGGGTTTAGAACTACTGTTAGGTAAATCAACAGAATCATAAACCTCTGAGTAATCACCGTCGTCATCTTCACAATACGACTGCCTTAAAACTGTGTTGTCTGAATCCCACACATCAGCGTAAATGCTATCAGTTGATTTACCATTGTCTTCTTTCACCTTCGCATCCCAAACATCAGCATACGTGTCAGAATCATAAGAACTTTGTCCCAGTCTTGGAGGAATTAATATTTTGTTACCTGTAAGGAGATATGTTGGTATTATTCAATTAAAAAAAACTTAAACACCCGAATTTTAGAATAAGATCTGTGTACCCTTTGATGCAATCATATAATAACATGATGCAATTGAATATGATCAATTAATGATATTAAATAACTTCTTTACCTGTAATGTCGTGAAAACTGTTTCGTCGAAAATTCCCATTGCTGTAGGTGTGATCTTTGAAGTCTTTGGTTGGCTTGTTTAATTCTATAACAAAAAATAACCGATAGATAAACTTCATGATAGCTCACAAACTATGTCCGTTATGTGGTAGAAATTGAGTGAATGTCAATCTGTAAGATTGTGACCGCTTCGTAACCTCAACTAATTAAATTAATTCAAAGAATGGTTAGCTGACTTGACTATTAAGCTTCACGGGAAATCAAAATTTAGTGCAAACTTTTGATTTAATTTAATTTATAAGTTGGTGACCATGTTGTTGTATGTGCACTTCAGTGTTGTAAGGCAATCCGTGTTGAAGCTTGAATTTAAAATTGGCAAACCATCACATTCGAATTTATCAGTCTGTAGAACAAACAGTCCGACGTTGTCAAAGATGATCTCTGGTATTTTATTGACCAGTTTATTTTAAACTTTTATACCAATTTCCGAATGAATAACTTTTGGATTATATTCAATAGTTTGGGAAAAGTATAGTGAGACATGAGGTCGTTACAACAATGCTGCTATTGGTTAATATAGATAATGGTACTGGTTTTTCATGTATCAGTGGCTATCCATATAGACTAAAGATTTCTCGGTAGTGATGGCATAAAATGCCTCGCAGAATATTTATAATCTACTCACCTTGCTGATTTTTCTTGTCTGTTTTCTTCATTAACGCATCGATATTCATTTTGAATCCGTTTTGTGTTGGATGAACAGTTTCATATCTATTATCATGAGACCTTTGCAAAGAACTATAAGCTTGCGAGGAGAAAAGAAAAGTTCGTTTTTCTTGTTTGATACCGCTATTATATACAACAGAGTCGTTTTTGCCTTGTGTATTGGTTTCCAAATTGTGATCCGATGACGCAGATTGTGTTCGTTCATTGACTGTGATTATATCTTCAGTTCCGTTATTGTCTGTACTTAGATCATACGACAAAGTGGAAGACTTTTTGGTTTCATCGGTTGCATGAGGCGGCGATACATTTTGTTTCAGCGATTGTGTACCCATGTTAGATGACGATATTTTCTTTTTGATTGTTTCGATAATATTTTCCGGTTTGTCATCGTTTTGTTTTTTGTTTGTCTCTTTTTCAAAGAGGTTTATATTTTCTCCAACTCCTGTATTATGTGGAATACCATTTGCTGGTTTTGATGCATTTTTCACCGGACTTTGCTCCACACTTTTACTTTCAAAAATTCGACAAATATCATCAACACTCAAACGCTTCTTCGTTAATCTGTGGAAACCACTATCCATGCTATTGGTATCGCTATCAGAATCGTGAGTTTTTGCGGGTTCTTTTGGTTCTGTTTAAATAAAAAAAATGCAAAATGAAATCTGAAACGCCAAAATTATTCAGGATATAATGTTATATAACTAATTAAGCTATAGAGACGTGTGTGCATATAATATATGCACATTTGTTAGAGGAACATGCACTGGACGCGTTCATTAGGTGGTAAAAATACACATGTAATATTTACATATACTGTATAAATGAGTAAAATATCACTGAAAATCCTGATTGACCTGTCTCGTATGCTAATTGCAAAAATCCAAATGTCAGTATTATTCTACTTATTTAATCATAGCGAATAAACAACCGGCATATACCTCGGCTTTCTGGTTATCTTAATACATTATAAAGAATTATGTGCAAAGCACATGTTGTGTTTATGATACAATTGATTAGTTGATTTGACAGCTTGTGCAAAAGTGGAAAATATACTTGCTGTTACTCGTTAATCAAATTACTGGAAAACTACAGTATTTTACTACCACGCCTATTAGTTGAAGTATATGAGAGAGTAAAAAAATAATTTGGATCGGCAATAATAAAAAAAAATAATCTCGATTAAACTAAATCAATTTTGCAACATGTTTGATCTTATTTTAAGTTCATCGTGTTTGATAATATATAGCGGACGTGTAACATAGCTCACCCTTGTCATTGCCAGCATTGATTTTGGACTTTTCCTGTTCGTGAGATATACTTGCATTACGTTGTGAACAGTCTGACATATACCTCTTGTTCCTGCAAAATTAAAACACGGAATTGATCAACTTTGTTGCGGCAAACCAGTTAGCAAAATCAGTGACTTGGCCTGACCAGTGATTTATTCTGAGCCTATTTTCTGTTATCTTTGCACTCCTGATTATATCACAATTATATAGTCATTACATATCTCTATTGATGAATAAAAACAAAATTGTGTTTTTGACAAATGTACATTGTTCAGTCCAAATTCAAGTGCAGACAATGTTAGACATGTTGATTAATTCTTAGATTCATGTCATTTCCTAATTATTTTCGTTTGGCAAACATCTGGTATATCACATCATGATAACAAATTGGCCGTACTCACTACCAAAGTTTCTAAGTATTTTTTAATGTATCCATGCAATTTTATTCTAGAGAAATAATGTGTGAAGTAATAGTAAATTTAATACTGTAAGTTTATTCAAAAGCATATATAATATTTCCCGTACTTTTGCCTGTTATTTCTATCATGTCTTTTGAAGAAATCAACCAAGTGTCGAATAACCATTATTTATTTTCTACTAATTGCATATATATCAAACTAAATAGAGTAAAGGATAAACATTATATATAATAAAAATAACATGCATATAAGATCATTAAATCTTCTCTAATGATGATATTCGCTGCTAGCACATATTTAATGATTGTTTTAATATTTTCTTTTTCCTTGTCATGTTTCTATTTTCACGTCTATCATAGTTTATCGAATTTCTGCAAAACGCTGATTAATAGAAGGCTCGCAATGGTCATAAATATGATTTTATTTCTACTCTTTAAAAACATTTTTAATCTGCCTGAAAACTCATATAGACACTGGTCAAAGCTCTATGCATAATAATCTAATGCATTTATAAGAGAACTACATAATCAATGCACTTGATCTGAATTACTGAAACTCATAAAACTATTAAATTTTTTTAATGGAACATAATATTAAACACGATTGCGAAACTTGGTAGTGAAATCCATTCATTGCGCATTTCCGCTAACGTTCTGGCACGCGGGCTATCAAATCTGTATTATATGTTTAATGGCGATTTAATCCTTTTGCATGCCAGCAAAATTCGATTTTCTAATTTAGAAAAATGGAATGGATAACTGGTCGTGACAGGGTGTACTATTTTTAATCGAACACCAACGCAGTATTCGTTTTATTCCACGCAGTTTTCGATCGATTTGTGACATTTGTCGTGTATTTAACGTATTTCCGCCACGGAATGGAACTTTGTGGAAAATTTTGCCATTGCGAACAATCAAAGTTGGACTCCTTTACCTTTAAATATTTAATTTAATTTATCTTCAAATTCGATGAACTCACCTCATATTTAAATACAGTTTCTAATTAAGTTTATCAGTCTGGAAAATTTTTATTCTTACGTGAAAGCTGACCTGTCTCAATAACACGTTTGAAAACGATATTTTGTACTTTACGTAAAATTTTAATCAGAGTTTCTTATAAATCATAACGTAAGGAATTCCCAAAAAAGGGAAAATTTATTATTAAAACGACATCTTTGCTATATTAAATAAATAAATAAATAAAAGTTATCATTGTTATTTTTGTGCACATTTAGACTCTTTAGAATTTTGATATGTACTCACTTTCGTCGTTCATGAGTATCATAGGATCCGTCAGTGGCTCTTCTCTGAAGGGTATTCCGTTTTTCTTTTCCCGTCAATTCCAGGGCTATATTTTCGCTTGAACCAACTAAGAACGATCTCGAACCATCCGATTCGTCTGCCGACAATGTCACGTGATCGTATCTGAGGCTTCGTTGTTGTTCTTTGATTAATTTATTAATGGATCTAACTGACCCTCTACTTTCTCGTTTACTGATTTGCTTTCGAGTCAACATTAGGCTATCGTTATGTTGGAGTGGTGCTGAAAAGGAAAAGATTTTGTTTGTTATAATCCAGCTCACCAGACGGGTTTAATCTCAAATGACATTTTGTCGCATTGTTTGGATTATGATTGTTTGATACAGTGATGACAATAGGCATTTTTGCTGTATTTTACAAGCCTCATACAGTCAGTCAGTATTTATTCTTTCACCAAACTGAAAATACACTTGATGCAAACATAAAATAGGAAACAACATAAAAATGGTATTCTGGGTGGAAAGGAGCCGCGGAAAACCAATATTGGTTTTAGAGCAGCGACACCTGTTTCTCAAAATTCAGTTTTATATGCAGATTTTCAAAAATTTCGTGTCCCACTTGTCCCAGACTTTTTCCCCTTGCACCAAACGTAACCCGATTGTACCACACTTGTACCACTCTTGTGGGTAGGGGAGGTGTAAAACAGAACGGAAATGGTTACAATGAACATATGGAGAGCGATTCGTACAAGTGAAACAATTTGCCCTTTTCGCATAAATTTTTACTCACCTTTAACAATTATACTGTTGTTGGCTGCTTCCGTCGTTGAAACAAATGTATAATTGATTGGCAACATCAATGACCTCTTTCGTTGACTCCCTTTTATGTTTTGCTGGTATATGGATACCCTTCCACTGGCTCTTGATTCTCGTTCCATACCCGACAGATAACTGGTAGCGGACATGTTTGATTCGCTTACACTTCGAAAGTCACGCGTTATGCTTCTATTTCTTCCAGTTTTCTGTCTTTTTCCTTTTGCTAACATTGCAGAAACGAATATTAGTGCTACGAGGAGAAGTCCCGCCAATACAGCAAGTATGATGACAATAAAGTTGGTCTTGTTTGATAATGTCCAATGTTTTTCCTCTCTTACATCTGACCTTCCTGATGATGTTCGCTGAAGTCCTGGTGGGGGTATCTTGTTTGCATTCTGTTCGCATGGAATCTGCTTTTCCTGTGATAAAATAATGAACATGTTGTTTTAAACTCATACATGCGAACATCAATGTTTAAATTACGGGTAATGATTTATATTAGCAATGTATACAGTTAGGACTAGAGATGGATATATATGGTACGAATCGCCATTTGTATGGCCCGTTCCGTTAAGAGTTATTGGGCTGCAAAATTAACAGCGGGTAGAATTTCGGTGGATAATTGATTGGGGCTGAGTGCATGGCTCAAATATATGTACACAAATATGTCAAAACAGTCACCGCTGTTCGTTGAGAAAAAGTTCGTTGAGCTTTGAATTTGCTTCAATATTTTGCCTTTCCTAATAACACCAATGTTAGGAGAAATTATAGAAATAGTTTTAACAAGTATGACAGTGATAACTTCCTAGTGAAATGAATACCTGAGATGCACGTCCGTTTGAAGAAGCGCAAAATGGGCCAATTTCCCCAGTATTCGATTTGCAAAATCTGATTGACTTTTTCACTTGATTCGTACAAGTTTGATTTATCCATTCACTCCACGATCCCGTACATGAAGATTTATCCAAGCACGATCTGCAAGTTAATTTATTGAAAATGAGAATTATTCTCTGTGTGACCTCTGCAGGCTGCTATTGGCCTATTTACAACAGTGTTGTAAGAATGTAACGACGAAAATCGCTATACCTGACTTGGATACGAACGCAGTCGCGCTGACATCTCCTTATGCGCATTTGAGTCGCCATGTAGCACTTTCCCATTCTGAAAAATAAATTGATATAATATAGGTCACAAAACATTAACTAAACTCATATCTATGATAAATTCTTATTTTGGTTTATTTTTTAAAATCTGCATTGAACCAAATATTTTCTTCACTGAATTTTCAAATATACAGAAGAATTGCGGTTAGGGATACTCCGTGATCGATCAAAATTGAAATTCAATATTTTTTTTCAATTTCATTTACGTTTCAAGTATTGATACATTGATATATTTAGAATCAATCATTATACGTGCCAAATTTATCGGTATAAGATTTTGATAAACACTATTATTGTGGTTAAAAATGTGTGAAGTTCATCGAAAATAGACTAAATATATAGTAAACTATTTTCTACTTTCCTTTTTAAGCCTATTTGTCCAGTACGCCATCGAGACAACTTTTGGCTGCGTTATAATATGTAACTGAGAAAATGGAATTCCGAATTCGCTGTTAGATAACGATAATATCCATATTAAGATAATGTTAAAAATTTCATACCTAGCCGTACAAGCAGACCAATCGCCCCATTCTCCCTTCCAATTGCACTGGCAGGTTTGCCTTGAATTGACGCTGACATCGCTATAATGAAGTACTCTCGTCGTCGATCTTTCTTGTACAAGTGTCGGTTGTTCAGGAGGTGGTTCGTTCGCTTGATTTCCTGATACTCCAGACCAATCAAATCGCGGTTTGAAAAAAGATTTTTCTGACTGATAGCGACTGAGTTCTTCTTCTCCTAATGCATTTCCCGTCAAAAGGATCATTACACTGATAATACCGAACATCCCCATTGATTCTTTTGTATTCAAATCCGTGTTATTGGAAAAGTTGTTTCTTGTCTAACAGTTACATTCGTTTTCGATAACAATATAGCTTGATCAAAAAATTTTAGATTTTAGCATTTCAGAGTTTTGTATTTTCTGCAACAAAATGAAATAAAATTGACAGTGTGCGAGATACAATTACACATAATGATAGAAAAAAAAGGTTGGAATGGTCGGTCCAACAAAGGATATCAATTTGATAATGAATTTGACGGATTTTTTAACGAAAATGTTTTTTTTTTACATTTTGTTTACTTAATTAAATAAAATTCCATATGAGGTCAATAACCTTTCAGACAAAACATGCCCTTATGAACTATTTAATTTTAAATTTGGCCAGACGTTTTAATTTCAATCAATTTGGCATTGTTCGACAATCGCGGAAACTGACTTCTCTTATTAATTAAATGTTATTCACTTCTTTCTCGTATAAATTTTGCGAAAAATCAAAATTAACAACGCAAAAATTAGTTAAGATGCGTCGCATACCAAAATCAAGTAATCGTTATACCTCATCATTCATAACATATGCTTGTTAAATTTTAAATGTCGTTAACTACGAATACCTATTTATAAATAACCTAAAACTGATATTTCAATTTTTAACCTTTTCTGATACTGATTCACTAGACAGACAAAACACCTTTCTAGTCGGGTTATCAGTTCACGTTTTTGACATATCATACTGTCTGTTCGTAGCAAACTGTTCTTTTTTTTTTAACTAGAAGGGAATTTATTAACCAATTTATCACTTGAAACATTTCGACTTCACTGGCTGTTTTCCTAATCGTATTGGCTTGAACAAGTTCAAATCTCACGCCAATAGGGACTTACTAACGCTAAACCACCAACATATTTCTATATAGTTACGTTACTTCTTGGCACTTCATTGGTCGACTGTTGTAGATTCGCTCAAAGATCAGTGTTTTTTTTCACTTTTGAGTGAATCTTGCATGGCTTTCGCAACTTTTTTTTTCAAAACGTCCTGGATTTTAAATTAAATAAGCTTTCGAGCACTATTTGCATTTTTGTTGAAGCTCAATATGCATATTCTGTCTTCACATATAGTGTTTTTAGGACGCATTGCGGCTTAATATCGTTGAGGTCTGTTTGAAAATCAATTACATAATTTTGCGTATTTATTAGATTCATTTTCGTTCTTACTTTTATAGCTTTCCCTGCAAATCAAATATTTAGTAATAGGCCTATCTAAACTGCACAACTTGTCTAAGAACCATACCATGTCCAATGCTTCCCTCAAATCAATTATTATACTGGCAACTATTGCGTTGCACGATTCGTCTGAAAGACGCGCTGACTAGAACAAAACGTAAATGAATAAGCACGAAGCAGTTAACAATATACAATTTTCAAACACATCGGAAATCAATCGTTTGGCGAATTACCATACTTTTCAATTGTGGGAAGTTTCCTGCGGTTTTGAATTTGTATGTGATTATGGCCTTCGACATCATGGCGTCAATCAAGTAGTACCATATTTAAAAGTAATTTTTAATATATAGGTAAAAGTAACTCGCATTTAATAAGCTCATTCATAAATTATTTAATGTAGATCAGAGGAGAACTCAAATTTTCTTGAAAATATTGTTTTTTATACAAGAAACATTTTATATGATATAAACGACTAGACTAGACGCGGATGTACTGCATGATTTAACTGATGCACTTGCGAATGACCGAAAATCAATTTTCCAAATTCTAAATAATATTCATAAAAATTATGGATTTCAAGTAATGATTTATTGTAATAATGATAAATATTATACTAATTTATATAATCAACCTGTGAAATCTGAATAATAGGGATGATGACTAGTTCGGACATAAGGCACGCCCTATTTTTAGAGACTAATTATTTATTTCATGCATTAAATAGGCCCAAAGCTGAGATGTCTAATTACTCAAATGAGATGAATGTGTGATCTATTTTTTTTAAATAGTTTTTGTTATAGCCCTCTTTTTTTTAAACTATCCTTGATCCTAAATTCGCTGCTATAAGTCAGTAGGCACATCCTATTTCTAAATAATAATTATTCATTTGATTCACTTAACAAAGGCACAAATTTGAAATAGTCAAATTGCGATCGCATTTTTGCTTATAATTTTTCTCAACCTACAATTCGTTACAGGTATCGTATGCTAAATTATTATGTCGACTTACAAAAATGTCGCGTCTATATTAAAGTCGTCATTCTCACGCTGTTTATTCGATACTATATTCCTGATAATTATTGTGACGCAATAATAGGAAATATCGATTGATGATATTTATTGTGAAACCAAACTTGAGCTTGTTTTAAAGCATTATTTCGAATACTAAATAATAGCGCTGTACACTTTCCGTTTACCTTACCCAGCTAAAAATGTTTTTCGAAGCTCTCTTGGTCTTATATTCTTCTCGGTAGCGCGTATATCATAAGAAATTGTCATAACAACAAATGCAAACTAACAATGTTTCTCGCCTTCTTATCAACTAAAACGGAAAAGGATGTGGTAAGCATTCCTTCTGTACAAATTATTATCTCCCGTATTAAGATTAGCTTTTCTTTCACGCTCTTTTTTTCTTTTGTCGCTCATCCGGCCCAAGATAGTGCTTTCCCAAACATGAACCTATGATAAGAGGCCCGTTTTAAATATGCATTAAATATGGACCAGCGTGTGCTTGTTATATACATACAAGGATGCCCCGACCAGAGATTTTCTCCCGATCTATTAGAGATTGTATATCTAATTACCGCTGCGTTTTATCGGATTAATGAACGTACAAAATTAAACCGTTGGTTATTTATCCTTCTATTTTCTCTCAATGCCTATTAAAATCGAAAATTTTGACTTGTGACATGTATGATAAGTACATAAATGATATATCAAACGTGCTTTATATATGGATTATGCTCTGCTGCGAACAAAAGCATAAATGTAGAATACAACAAATACGGATCAATCGTATCAATTTATTCTCTAAAACCGCGTTCTTGGAAATTAGTCTCCAAACGTTTCTCTGACGTCAAAGGTATATTCGAGCACCCGACATTGAATGAAAAATCGTGCTATGAAGAACGTATTATTATGAAGCATTGAAAATCCCTTATTAGACAAAATTCCCTTGGTGTACTAGTAAGGGGATGTTGCGACAACCTTACTTACTTACAACCTCACGGCCTTTCAGTGATGGCGTACTGGTAGGCCATATAGAGTTTGTAGATGAGTCCCATCAACATTTTGAATTTTTTCATTTTATTGGTCCGGCAGCCATCTATCAGGAATCCGTTTTAAAAACGCATTCTGCGTTTCTTAGTTTTCGAATCTTCGCGTAAATATGGATTGCAGATTTTTTGAACTACTGATTAATACCGGATGTGGTTGTTTCCCCGACCCTTGACCCCAGAAATATCTTTCTATTTGATGCCTATTTTAATGGTATTTTTGCGAATTTACAATCGTATTCTGAATATTTAGCAACCTTTTATTTAAATAGGATATGTAATTTTCTTTTAGTCGATGCTCGGGGAAACATCAATTGCAACATGGCATTCATAGTGAAAATTTTGCCGAAATAGGATTATTCGCTAATTTAAAACTGTGAAATTAATTCCCTATCCTCCCATGACCTTGTATGCTACTTGATAATGAAACAGAGATAAGAACATCATTACCGGACTTGTTGTAACTAGTTTTAACCATACTCGAGGAAAGTCTCACAGTATTTCTCTATGGCTACATGCTGAGAGCTTTGTTTCGAGGAAAACCTAAAACACACATAAAATTAATGATTATCTTATTCAAAAAATCCATTACAGATAAAATAATTCAAATGGAAACAAATTGATCCGCAGGCGATTTTTGAAATGGATACAATCATTTTCCAAAATAATAACCATTTGTACATCTCTTTGTTTTTCTTAATTAATGATTCGATAATATATATCATATTAAAATTTCGTATAACTCAGAATGATAAAAATAAAATTACAAAATAAAAATTTCAAATTTCCACAGCAAAATATCGACCTTATTCAAAAATCACAATTTGAATTAGGCAGATGTAACCTAATTAAATTCCCCATTAAAACAGACTAATAAATCATTTCTATTTGTCACCCTATCAATTGAATTTGTCAAATTATAATTATTTCATTTGAACGATGTTTTTTTTATGATAATAATATACAATGAGAAGTGGGGAAATTTTTGAAAAAAAAAATGCGGAAAGTTTGAAATATTTCTGAAGAGAAAGGAGAATTAATTATAGTTTTACGAATTTGTATAATAGAAGTATGAGATTTAACCAAATAAATGAATTAAAATTAAAATATGAGAGACTAAAGTTAAATTGGTAAATAAAAATAGTGCCAATGAATTTTTTTTATCGGCAACATTTTGTTTAATTAATAAAACCCGAATTTCTGATTTTTATTGGGAAGATTATATCAATGGTATGGGAAACATAATTGTTATTATTTATATCACACTCACAGACTACATGATTTGTCTCTAGTGCTGCTTAGTCTACAATTTCTTCCATCCCACCCGCACTAACTTCAGTATGCTCTACCCACGCGGGATTGTCGAGAAGATGGCTGACCGACCCTGAAAAACTTCAAAACACGATTTAAAGGAATAGCCTTTTGCAATATGTGTTGGTTGAGTTAGACAAAAAAATTCGAAACAAGGATCCCCTCAAGACTAACATATCCAAAATTGTTCGAAAACGCTCCGAACAAGACCAGGTACAAGCAGTCACATATATCTAATGATGCCTTAAAGATGCCTCATTTGGGGGACGAGGCGGCCATGCTTCAACAGACCCCACTGGCTACGCCTATGGATGTTTTGCGTTCAATATTAATCATGCATTTTATCTACAATACTAACGGTCGCTATTACTAAAATCGAATTCCAACTCTTCAAATTCTGTCCGTTTGGGAGTCTCACCAGACCCTTTATATTACAGACATTGTCTTTTGTTGGATTAATTGCAACGGGCTGCTAAAAGCCAAAAATAATTTTTTTGTTTGCGAGAAAATTTGAGAAAAAATGCTAAACACAACGTTTTATTCTGCGTGCCAATGAAATATTTTCAATATGTCAAGCAATATAAATTATCTGCTTCAATACCGGTAATGGCCATCGAAAATGACAGATTGATCAGCACGAGGTATATATAATGTGTCGTATAAGATAGATAGTTCAAGAGATACTTTTATGTGCATGCCTCCTGCAATAAATTAGGTAAAAGAAATATGATGTGCTTCATGCAAATAATGGCATGCATATAAAGGTGTATTAAATAAAATAAAAATAAAAATAAATGAACACGTATTAAAATGAAACAGACCTGGTTGAGATATATTGGGAACTGACTCCATAACAAAATTGAAATTGTAACAGGACTTATTGAACAATATATGAGTAAATTTGTAATATGACTGATTCTTGGCTTCTGCTTTCAGCTGTCAAAATTGATATATAAATGTTTTAAATTAGCACTATTTCTACCTATACGGTTGAACTGCAAGCTTTCTCAATAATTATTAGATATTCATATTTATTGACAATTTGCTTTTTAAACGTTTTTTTAATTATTGAAAGATTCAGCGTTTACATAACGTGACTGATTTTAGTTCGTCCTTACTTTTTCGTGTGATTTTAATTAAACGTTTTCTTTCTCACAGTTGCATTAAATCATCAGACCAAAGGAAGACCAATGGATCTTAACAACACTTTATTTGAACTTAACGGAGGATGCGGATACGTTTTGAAGCCCGAAACATTACTCAAAGTAAGACTTGAAGTTTTAAAATGTTTTGAAGTACACCATTCCCTAAATACGTCTGAAAAGTTTCTCTTGGATAAGTAAGGCCAGTTGGTCAAGTAACACAGATCCATAACGCACTCTTTTAATGTCAAAGTTTTCTACGTGCCTCTAAAAATAAGGTTCTGGATGACCTTCAACCTCTGGTTGCCTTGCCAAATTTTTAATTTAAATCTTGATACTTCACGTTTCTCCATCTGTCTTGGAATTCACTTGATTTTCGGAAACTACCTTCAAGCTTTCTGTAGACGTAAGGTCAATCGTACGATCGCACTTTGACTACTCGGCATTTCGTATTCTCTAACGACAATTCCATAAATTGTAATGTGCCTTGTAAAAAAAACGCTTTGAAGTTTTTTAATCAAACAAGACAATCAAAATCACAATAGAGTTATAAGAACGAAGGAAATCGATATAAAAAACAAATATTGATTTGAAATAGATATTTCTCCACAGCAAAATTTGGCTATTTCGATGGGAATCGAGGGGTGTTTTAGGGACGTGGTCACGGTTTCGAAACCATAACCCTCTAAAATTAGTTCTCGAAAGAATCCTACACATTAGATTGGGCAAATACAATATCTATTGAGAGAGCATACCTGCGTTTTACATTTCTTTCTTTATTTTCATATCTCCTACTAACATATTTTAAAGTTCGTTGAGTGGGATAACTCTATCTCTCCATTAAAGGAGACTTTTAACCCAACTGTGCTGTTATAAAGTGAATATAATGTACTACACCAAACTATTTATCGCGTCCAAGCATTATAGTATCAAACTGTGACGTCATATCAATGCACCGAGTGAAGAGAAAGTGGCCAAAGCCTGATGTCACCTATCCCCTCCTCTTTAAATACGCCTTTGCGTTGATCTGAGCTGTTATAAAAACAATACCATGTGCTAATTATTACAAATTATCAAACTAGCCAGAATCCTTCTTCGAAGCAAAAATTTCCCCAAGTTCATTACACGTTTTTATGCTTCTTTGTTTAGGATGAATACTTCAATCCACTGCAGCCTGGTCCGTTTACAAAAATGATGCGGCTTCGAATCATCAGTGCTCAACAACTTCCTAAACCACCAGACAGTGTTCTTGGCGATAGAGGAGAGGTAGAAATATATCATTTAAAATTGAAGTTAACTCTTGTGCATAGCTAGAGTTGTAAGCACACTCTGATAAGAGTGACACTCGGAGAGAAATATTCAGGCCCTGTTAATCTCAGTAGCCTTCCGCGTCTGAGTCATTTCTACAGCCCCTAAAACTCTAAACAAAATCCAATTTTTTTCCTCAAATGAATTATATTATAATTGTATACAGTATATTATATTGTTTCCAAGAGAAGCAAGGTCGCCCTTACTCACTCAGAAGTAAAGAAGACTCATCTTTGAGCAAAGGTATAGGCTATCGCTGCTGGAATTCCAACAGCATCTTAAAGTGTATTTATGAATGCTGATACATTACACGCCACTAAATTCCAATTAATTAACGCGAGACTTCGAGCATTTCAAATTAATACCATTAAGATAACATCTGTAAGGTAGTGAATTCCAGATAACTAAAGTTCATGGGAAATATTATTGGCATAAAATATTTGGCATTTTCGATCACACAATGCAACACCATGGATCTATATAGTTTCAGAAGCTCCTATCATATCAAAGACCACATGTAAATTGGTCATAAATGAGTCCACGTTAGGAAAATTCTCTCAAATAGATATAAATGAATTATAATTCCATTTATATTTATTACTTATCGATCTTAAGATCGGTAAGTATATTGATAGGTTTTTGTCTGTATGTATGTCTGTCTGTCTGTGTGTGTGTCTGTTAGATGAACGCGATATCTCGCGAATGCGAGGTTGAATCTGCTCCAAATTTTGCATGTGCATGCATCTTACCTCGGACCAGAAGCCTATAGATTTTGGGTTAATTATGTCGTATAATTAGCGAGTTATTAACTAATTACCGATCTAAGATCGATAAGTCTTCGGTCTCCGACCGATATTCTCGTTTTGTTTATTGTACAGATTATTGACCCGTTTGTTGAAGTGGAATTGTTTGGAGTACAAGTAGATTGTGACAAACAACAGACATCAGTCATTGATGACAATGGTATGTTTTAAGATACTTTATCTAAAATAAGCCAGTTGTGAAACAATAATTCCGATACGGCGTTCAGTTGTAAGCTGGATCGCTGTTACAAACAAAATAGACCCCTGAATCGAAGACTTTTAACAAAAATGCCCGAAATCGTCGCATAGATGGTCGAAATTGTCCTTTTTAATTGTTTGTTTATTGGAAAGGAGTTGTGCGCCATTTTTCAGAAATATCATTATTACACAATTTACGTCAAATGATTGGAATACTCGAAAATTATCTTAAAATCCATAAATAATGACCATTATTGAATCACCTGGTATTTCTCGTTGCACATTGTGACGTCATTATCACTCCCGTTTGTTGCAAATCGAATATTCAAATATACATTGTTAGGTCGAACAACGGTATAAGTGTACTTCAAGTTAAATTATAAGGTTGTATCAACGTTTCAATTCAGTCGTGTTCGCCATCACCGAAAGTCTTTGCATAACTAAAATCGAATGAAGTTCATAATTCCTCGGAATTAAAACTCTCTGTAATATATATATATATTATAAGTATGGTCGAAAAAGACCAAACGACTATTTTCTGATTCCGATTTTCGTCAATATGAACAATCTCACATTCTCATCTGAATCTCGTGATATGAAATTATGCAGTGAAGACAATAATATAAATATTTATAGTGTATTGGATTTATTGCTTTTCAGGGTTCAATCCAGTCTGGAACGAAGAACTTTTCTTTCCACTATCTCGACCGGAACTATGTTTCATCCGATTTACTGTTTGGGACCAAGATCCGATTGGGAGAGATTTTATCGGACAAAGGACTATTTCTATGAGGAATCTTAAACAAGGTTAGTTTTGGTATTTTTTTTATCGAAATATTAATCCAAATATCGGGCTCGCCACTTCAATTTCAGTATAATTTCATGTGTAGTCTATCCGAAACCGACAGTATCCGAAGAATGAGTAAAATATATGCTAACCCGTTAATTTTTCTCGAAGTAGCTGTACACAGACACCATGATAATAAAAACGAACAAATTTTGGAGTATGTTACCACAACCCCTCAGTTTCTAAATCAATGTAGGGTAGCAAAATCTTGGTCAGTTATAAATATACACATGTAGGTACGGTAATATGATTGCAATGAGCAATCTGTATCGATGTTTTATTGTTTTAGTTTCACTGTAATTTCCTTTTTTTAATTTGTGTCAGGTTATCGCCATATTCATCTCAGCAACTGCGTTTGTGCGTCCATATTCGTCAACATTAATTTAGAACCATTCAACAATAATAATTATAAGGTAAGAGAAGGTGTTTCTGTAATTTTTATTGAACATAAAGAAGACTCGTGATTTTTTCCCTTAGTTTTTCTGTTTTTAATATTATTGGGGTAGTTGTTGGTATAAAAAAAGCGTTACCAATCGATTTCAAATTTTCGGTACTTGAAAGTCGTTAGAAGGCTATTGCTTTTATTTTTTAATTTCAAATATCCTCTGAGTTCAGTGGAGTCGATATTTTACCCAAATTTTGTTGTTGTTTTTTGCACACATTACGTCACAACGTCGCATTCCATCACGCTAGTCCTCCATCCTTTCGATAAACCCTGTGCTCAGCCAAGATCATATGGTATTGCCTGTTACCATTGTTAATTGCTTTAGTGATGGGACATTATTTTTACATTTAATTTGAAACATTCAATAGATACCAGAATTTTTTGTATATCAAATAGACTACTGCTCGTTGTACGTTTTAGTCATTTGACCATAGTATCCATATATTGCTTTCTTGGTACATTATTTTACTATCTGGTAATTTTGCGAATGAAATTTGTCATACAATCAATGGTAAAGTGTTATTTATTTAATTAACAATTCACAGCAAAGGAGCAACTCTCTTGTTGTACAAACGGATAAGAAACTGATGGCAAATTCACTGAGGGCACATCGGAAAACTAGCTTCAGTTTTCATAAGAAGAAAGGAAAGCCGTAAGTCAATTGAACATCAATAGAGACTTGTGCTTTTCAAACCAATGTCAACTTCAGTATAATTGGCTTTGCTATTTCAATCTCGGTGCGCTGGGATGAAAATTATTGACTCCAGTTTTAAATCCAGTGTAGATAATTAAACCTCAATCCGAATACTTCAGTAGTGCAACAATGGCACACAAGATATTACATTTGTATGATAAAAAAAAAACTATAAGCGATTTAAAATTGTCTATTTCATTGAATTTTGTGTAGAATACCTGATTCTCCGATGATGCGATCTGGCAGTGAACGCACAACGGAGTCGAGGCGTGGCGGATTTCTCAAAAAGGCAAGAAACCGATCGTCATCAACGACTCTAGCAAAGGAAGATTGCGCTTCGATTGCAGAATTGAAAGAAGATCGTTTGTGGAAAAATGGAGAAAAAGAAAACAACGAAAGACCAACTGGGAAAGCATCAACATCTTCCAAAACAAAGTCGACCGGTAAAGATAGATTTTTCTTTGAGTGATACGTTGTTAGACTGGCGCGGTGTCGTACCCTTCGCTTACCATTGGTGATCTAAATAAGATCGTTCGCGAGATGGTGATAGAGAGCTCCAGTTCAGGTGTCGTTTAATTAAATTGTTCTATTTATAATATAATCTATTTGTAACGTTTTCACACCTTGTCTCCGAATAAAGCTTTGGATAAGCTGCCACTTGTACGCAAGTAAGTTTTATGGATGGACTGGAATTATGTTAAAACGAAAAGTTTACTTCTTTTTCAATTTTACATGACTTTTTTATCCGGGCCGAATTGTGACTTAAACTAGAAAACTCAAAAAAATTTCAAAATGGATGCTACACTATAACTTTTTTTATTGAAAACAGATTTATTAAATTTTCTGATATTCCCGGTGAGATCGCGATATATGTTAAATTCATCAATGGTGTTGATATATATTGTATGTATAGAAAAATTCAGATTACCAAATAAAAATTTTCATAATATTTACATACCAATTTCAGGTAACAAATCATCACATTCTTCCGTATCATCAACTTCTTCAAGCGATAAATATTCATATGGATCTCGTAAGTATTTCTTTATATTATTTATTCTTTACATTCTCCGTCCGCGTATATATACGGCCTTTATATACAGTCCCTATACATCGCCTTGTCCGACGCGAAAAAGGTAAAATTCCATGGTTCGGTGAACAACATTTTTAAACATGCTTTCCCCAATTTTTATAAGTAATTTATTTAAATTTCAGGTTCTAAAGTTCGGCAACACCAAACGTACATATGACAACAAAAAGACATATATATGATTTTTAATTTCAAAATTTACCTCCTTTTTTTCTAATCGCGCATGCGTTAACTTAATTTATCTGTTTTAGGTGATTTATTTTTTATTTTTCAATATTTTTTCAATTTTAATTTTATTCATCTTTCATTTAATTAATCACAGCCAAACCATAACGAAATAAGGAAATAAGCGATACTCATAAATTATGGTAAGTCGGCATCTGCAGTCGGATACTAATTTTCGTAGTGTGACGCCATGTATTATGACGTCATTGCACGGAAGTGTCATTGCATGCGTAACAATTTCATCTGATGATGCAAAAAATCAGTGGATTTGTTTTTTCTTTTTCTCTAATTGTTGGATAATCTGCATGATTCTATTAAAAAATTAATTAATAGTGTGATAAAGTATGGGCCATACCTAGATTGCGGCGCCCGTGCTTGGCCAAGAATATTTTGATGAGTAAGATTAACCCTTGTGTTACCTGAAATGCAACCGTCTCTATTTCAACCCTTAACTTGCGTGGAATGGCATGTTGCTTGCTCATACCCTTTTGAAAAAAACCTTGCATGTCCATGCTACCCCTGTATTACAATCAATTACAAATGAAAGATTGTGTTTTTGGTAAAATAACATACAGCTGTAGAAAGATAAATGAAGTAATTAGCGAATAGATTTGATCTTTATTAATAAAACTTTGAGTATTAAGAAAGGCACATATGGTAGAGAGATGTCAATAATCGAAATTCCTGAAAGATAACACCCGAATACATGTTGTTTATATGTGAGAGATGCATGTAGTGAGGATTTAATTAATACACCATAAATGGGCTGTATATACACAACACGACAGAAAATGCAATGTTTTGGCTGAGTGTGAATCCGCACTAAAGTGGTTTCCAGGATAAGACAGTCCTTCACACGACGAGACGAAAAGGGCGTCTTTGAAATGCATATTCTTGGACAACTTCTGATCGCGTTCTTTTCCAGTATCTTTTTTTTCCATAATGAGGGAAGGTTTTCGTATATACAGGGTAGTACTTTTGTGCAAAAATCTCGTGCGCAAAAATCTGATTTGAGAATTGGATTTGAGTATGTGTGTTTAAAATAAAGATAGGCATAAAATGTGGGCAAATAGTAGAAATAAGCAAAATCGAAAATAGAATATAAGTTTTTTCCGCAAAAGAGCCAATCCTTCTATAGATATAACAGTAGGTAGTAGGGTTTTGTCCGATTTTTGTCTTTCAATGGACTATAGATATATAGCGTATTCCACATCTCTATTTGTATACTGCGGAGAATATATTATTCTTTAATTTGCTGTTATAATTTCAGCGTTTAGGTCGAACTCGTTTTTAAATGTATTCCAACATTTAGATGAAATTTGTATCGGATACATATATTCCAAACTTTCAGACGAAATTTGTATTTCGTACATAGACCGACTACAATTCCCGTTACTGTCTCTTGAACAGTCTCATAAAACAAAATAATATTGTCCTAAATTTCATCTTGAGGAAGTGCTAGATAATCTTACAAAACATATGTCACAAGCATAGCTTGACTCACCTTGATTTTTGTATCATCGCTTGCAATACCGTATATCCGCTTCATGCGTCGCTGAAAATTTTTTAAATTATTTTTTTGCGATTGAAGTAACGACGGAAATGTTGTCGCGTAATATGAACCATGTTATATGCTGACCACTTTAAAGTTTGTAACGAAAGATGATAGTCATAAAATTAAGTAGTAATCTGCCTGCCTTGTTTCAGAAATCTAAAAATCGCTTTGAGAATGGACATTATTTGAAATACAATCCAGCAGTGGCGAATATAATTACGACATATGTAACGTCGCCTCTCTGTTCAGCATCTGTATTAAACATATATTATACAATATTATTTTTCTGATGGAGTAAATTCGTATTGTGATTTATTTTTGAGTGTGCTGGTAAAAATTGATATTTTTTCCGAATCGGAGCATTATTTTCAAATTCAGCCAAATTCTAGAATGTAAAAAAGTTTTTTGGTTTGTTTCATGGATTTCGGCTTAGAAAGATTTCGCCAAATTATTTCAGTTATTCAGTTTTTAAAATTTATATAATTTATTCTTTACAAAATTGGGTCCTATACTGATGCCTATTTTTAAGGAGGTGATAAAATTACTCACGAAATCTATACACTTGAATTTAAAAACAACATGCATCCCCCTGAAATGCAGCATTTCATATAACATTGTTGGCAAAATGATATTCATCCGCATACACTCACTCATATATGTGTTTTCATCTACGTTGGCATGGAAGAAGAATAGTGTTGCATCCGAAATGTATGTTTCTGTGACTCAATAATTACCGTCAGTAAATGTTTCAAATCAGAATTGAATTTTCACAAAGAATTTGAAAAAAGAATTCACCAAATTTTTTTTTAAATAAATATGTGATTTGAAGATTTTTTTATTTGCGGTCAAAAACGAAAATTCAGTTCCAGGCAACATTTATAACATTGACACTTTAAGCTCATTTGAGATTTATATATTTGATCTATTGCGGAAGTAATGCACAATAGAACTCAAACATAACGAAACGACGTGTCTCAATGAGCTCGTCATTGTTTTAGTATAAATGGATTCATTGGCTTGTGTTCAACTGAGAAAGGAAAAGATTTCTAATCAACCGTACTAGTTTGTGTTTATTCGCAAACAACCACGCTTTACTAATGATCTAAGTGTTAAAGCCAAAACAAAAACAATTTTCAATTTTGCACTGTATTTTTGCATTCATGCGTGAAATTTGCGTTTTGGCTGCAAAATTACACACCATTTGCTTATGCCATAAATACGAGGTTTAATTCCTAAAGTCTCGACAAAACTGCTTAAGTATTATTGTGTAAATTATACAATTCTCAATCGGAAGTAAATGATACTCGTCAATTGAGCAATTACTGTCGACTACTGAAATGCCGAGAGCTAGTGGGACTATGTATAGATCGATTAAAGGTGTTGCATAACGCGCCAATATTTATATAGATTGCCTTTTTATCTGTGAATTTAATTGCGTTTGATCCTACAGCTCTTTTATTTTTCCTATAAAATCGTAGTCAAAGGTCAGAGCTTCCAATATAAAATTCATTTTCACATAATGATGTTCACCGCTGAAGAGTCCGATATTGGCCATGATCACGCTATAGCGACGAGTTCGCGCAATGGATTATATATTCAAATTCACAAAAATTGATGGCCAAATCCTATAACTTCGGTAAATACAAAATGATGAATGCAATTTTTTTTTAAATATTTGTTTGATTTTATTCAATGACATAAATGAACATGACACTGTTTTAATCAATCTTTTTGTTATCTAATATAAACAAAATACAACTAAGGCAATCATACAAGGCGTCACCATTCTGAAATCGTTTTCAATTGTGTCAAACAAATGATTTTAGAATTACGTCTACGTTCAATGTAACTGAACCCTAAACGTTCAAAACAATTACGTAGCTATATCGATATAAAAAGATTTACCGCAAATAAGGGTCAAAACCACCAATACTTACTCAAATATTGTTCTCGCAATTTGTGGTCAAATTGTCTTCAAACAAACAACTTTCAAAATTCAAATGTTTCTTTTATTTTTAAAATAATATATTTTATTTAACCAAAAATACTGAACATATCCATTTAAGGTAGAAAACTAACGATTCCAACACGTGCCAAAATTTTGTCAACTAGTTCAGCTAACACAAATCAACCTTGATACATAACTGAAATTCGTATTCAACCATGTTTTATGCTTGCTAGAGATCATTGAAATTATCAAAGTTATTTGTATCGTCTCCGCAATTTTTCAATATTATGGGTCAAAATGATGGGTCATTACCCCTTATTTATGTTTCCTTGGTACCAAGCGTCGCGTTGAAAAATCTCCAGACGCTAATCATCGCTGTCAAATATGTGAAGACAAAGAAAAGGATATTTTCAGACAGACAAATTCAAGATTTTTCGTCATCATATCTTGTATTAATAAATAAAGCAAGACGCCGTGGCATGTTGGATACGTCATCTGGCATGGCGTGTCCTACTATTTTTTTCATGAGTTTTGGAACGATCATAAGATATATATGCATATGACATCGATAATGATGGATTAACCCAAGATCTATGGCTGTATCATACATCCAATCGTAATAAACGCATTCATAACGGTTTCAGTGTATGCGTGCATATATCACACTGGATAATGTTTTTATCATCAAAAATACAATGGGGTCCATCTATGTAGGATGACAAAACTGATGAACACTGGAGACAAAATATCGTATTTATCGTAAGTAGTGTAGTGACTCATCACACTTGATAACGCCCGTCGCATTTCATACTGTTTTATGTCGTCATTTTTGTTGTGACGTCACTCATTGTACTATGGCGCAACATTCTAATTTATCGTCCTTCGGCAAGTTCAGATTGGTCACTACCGCACTCACGGCTTGAACGGCAGGGCCAAGTCAAATCTCTGTTGTGACGTCACTTTTTGCTTCGATCTAAAAGAGGCTTATGAAGAAGTACCACCACTGAATACAATGTAATTGTATTGTGCACTCGTTTGAACCAAATATACCTAATAATAATCTAACGTACCATTTAGCATTAAATTCCAATAAATATTTTATCGCAACCTATACTCTGTACTCCGTTCTATTTCATGCATGAAGTACAATTTTCTTTTGAGCGGAAACACCGCGGTTCTGTTTCGGGAAACAGCACTTCTGCCCTTGCTATTTCT